TCGGCCGTGACCTTGGCCCCATCCCATGCCCCCGTGGCAAGGAGGAGGCGGTGGCCGTACAGCGTGGTGGTGGCGTCACCGGGACAAGAGGGAGCAGTATCTGGAGTGTGGACCCTCAAGGCGGGTACAGCAGGGCCGTGGAGGTCAGGGTCTGGGCACTTAGCTAAGTTGGGTTTCTCCAGCGCTTTGCTGGTATGCGGGTGGAGCAGGGCAGCCCGCATCCTGTCCCCATCCCCGCACCTTGTCCCCTGTCCCCCTCCCGCAGTGCAGCCTCAGGGACTCCCCAGCCACCGCCGCTGCCGCGTGAGCCAGCTCTGCTCCGCCGCCTGTGAGCCGCGCCGTGTCCTAGATAAAGCCCCGGCCGGGCGAGGGGGATTAGCTGGAGTTGAGTCACCCAGGGAAGGGAAAACGTGGGGGGGAAATACGACCTTGGTGTAGCCACGGCTATGGCACGGGAGTTCTTGTGCATCCCTGCCCCATGGAAAGGGGCGGGGGCTGTGGGGCCATTGGGCCAGCTCCCTGCTACAGGCACTGACCCGCATGCAGAGCGCTCGAGCTGCCCGGCAGTGCCACGTGTGCCCGGCACGGGGCACCTGAGTGCCCGCCGGTGCTGTGCCCCTGCGGCGGGTGATGCCTGCACCATCGCTATGGCACACGTGTAACTGTATCTGGGTTATTTTGGGCTGCTGTCAGGGCTGGGTGCTCAGCACCTCCCACACGCGCACCAGCTGCTGCTATTTTGGAGCTGACGGCCCCCTCCTCTTCTCCTCCTCCCCCTCCTCACGCCTGGGGGAGGACCGGGAGCTGCGGCCGTGATGGGTGCAGGTCGGGGAGGCTCACCCTGTCACCGCCCTCTCTGGACTTTATCCCACAAAGCAGCCGTGCCGTGAAGGGTGGCACTTTGCACCAGGTGGGGTGTCCTGGAGGGATGGGCAGCAGTGGGACACCCGCTTCAGCCATAGGGCAGGCATTGAGCACGGCCACCCACAGCTTCTCAGGGCGTAGAGTTGGCAGGGGGAGGCAGGGGGTGGCCAGCCTGGCCCGCAGGGCATAGGGCAGCAAGAAGGACTTTGAGCCCTGGGAGTCATCCCAGGCCAGGCACCGGGGTGAGCAATGGGTCCTCAGGCTTCTCCTACACGTGGCAGTGCCAAGAGAGCCCGCAGTGCCCCTGCATGGCCATGTGGGACTGCCCCACAGGGGTGCCGGTGGCTCCACAGGTTACTCACAGGCAGCCTGTCTCAGCCTTTCTCCTCTCTGCAGAGCTCCAAGGTGGTGCAGGGGCTGACTGGACTGCGGAACCTCGGCAATACGGTGAGTGCTTGTCCTCATCCGTGGGCACAGCCCCAGCCCCACACGCTGCCATTCTGTGGGCACATTAGGGACCCCGGCATCCACGCTCCCAGGGGTGGACAAATGCCTTCCCTGCTCCATCCCCATCCCCTGCCCGCCAGCCCCAAGGTGCCCCCCTGCCACCACCCGCCTCCCTCCCTCCGCCTTACGTTGCCATGGTTTTCTGCCTCCCCCAGTGCTTCATGAACTCCATCCTGCAGTGCCTGAGTAACACCAAGGAGCTGCGGGATTACTGCCTGCAGAACCAGTACCTGCGGGACCTCAACAACAACAGCCGCATGCGCACCGCGCTCATGTCAGGTATCCGGGGGGGGGGGGAGGATGAGGGCAGCTATGGGGCACGTCCGCCCCCCCCCCATATTGCTGAGCTTCATCTCTGCATGCAGAGTTCGCAAAGCTGATCCAGCTGCTCTGGACCTCATCCCCCAACGACAGCGTGAGCCCCTCCGAGTTCAAGACGCAGATCCAGAGATACGCCCCACGCTTTGTTGGATACAAGTAGGGACTGGTGGTGTGGGGCTGGCGGTGTGGGCCTGGCGGTGGGTGCAGAGCCCCGGGGGTCTCTCACAGCCGTGCCCCTTTGCCTTGCAGCCAGCAGGATGCACAGGAGTTCCTGCGCTTCCTCCTGGATGGGCTGCACAGCGAGGTGAACCGCGTGCTGGTGCGGCCGCGGGCCAATGCTGACACCCTGGACCACCTCCCGTAAGCGTGGGGTGGGCAGCGGGGTGGGGGCTGGATGCCCGTGGGATCCAGCATGGCTCAGCAGCTCTGTCCCTCTGTCTCGCAGTGATGATGAGAAGAGCCGCCAGATGTGGCGGAGGTACCAGGAGCGGGAGGACAGCCGTGTTAGTGGTGAGCATACAGGCAGGGGTGGGGGCAGGCAGGGGGCTGGGGCCTGGAGGATCACCCTTCTCCATCCCCTCGCCTCCAGATCTCTTCGTTGGGCAGCTGAAGAGCTCGCTGACCTGCAGTGAGTGCGGCTACTGTTCCACAGCCTTTGACCCCTTCTGGGACCTTTCCCTGCCCATCCCCAAGGTGAGGTGTCCCCGCTCTTCCCTGTCCCCCTGCCCCACACGGTGTGTCCCATAAACTGTGCTCCTGACTGTGCCCTCCTCCCACAGAAAGGCTACGGGGAAGTCACCCTGATGGACTGCCTGCGGCTCTTCACCAAAGAGGACATTCTGGATGGGGATGAGAAACCGGTATGGGACGTGGGGTGGGGGCACAGGGAGTTGCATGGGTGCAGGATGGGTTCTCACTGTACTGCTCACTGCCTGCAGACGTGTTGTCGCTGCAAAGCCAGGACGCGGTGCACGAAGAAATTCAGCATCCAAAAGTTCCCCAAGATCCTGGTGCTCCGTATCCTTTGTAGTGATAAATGGGGTTGGTGGGGCTGGTGCGGGGTGGCAGCTCTTTGCAGGCTTCCCTTTGCTCCCCATCTCCTTGACATGCCCCCCCCCAGACCTGAAACGCTTCTCAGAGGCCAGGATACGAGCCAGCAAGCTCACCACCTTCGTCAACTTCCCGCTGAAGGACCTGGACCTGAGGGAGTTCGCCTCGCAGAGCTGCAGTAAGTGCTTGGGCTGAGGGGGCAGAGCTCAGAGCTCACATGTGGGTACCACTGATGCTCACCCTGTCCCCCCAGACCACGCCGTTTACAACCTCTACGCCGTCTCCAACCACTCGGGCACCACCATGGGAGGACACTACACTGCCTACTGCAAGAGCCCCATCTCCAGCGAGTGGCACAGCTTCAATGATTCCCGGTGAGGCTGCGCGGGTGGCACGGGGAGGGAGACCTCATGTGGGCACCCCATGGCTCATAGCGCATCTCCCCACGTCTCTGCAGCGTCACCCCGATGTCCTCCAGCCACGTACGCAGCAGCGATGCCTACCTGCTCTTCTACGAGCTGGCCAGCCCATCCTCACGCATGTAGCCGGCCCCTGGGCACCCCTCAGAGCCTCCTACTTGGATTTTGGCACCCCAAGAACAGTAGAAAGCCCCGAGATGAGGGCAGAAACCAGGTAGCCCCGGTGCCTCCAGGCCTCTGGTGTTTGCTTTTTACCCTGGGGTAGGTTTTTCTTTTTTCTTTCTGATGTGTAATAAAAATACTGAGCAAGGGGCCTGGGGCTGCCTGCTCCCACCAAGGACCTTGGGGACACCGGAGTTGGGTTCCCTTCTGGCATCTTCGTACCCCTCTGCCATCTCCGAGGATCCACATGCCTCCTCCCAGCTCCTCCAAACTTCCTGATGAAGGATTACAGCTCTTTGGTCACCTCCATCTGCTTTCTGATCGGCCCAGGACTCATGGCCGGGAGGGAGGACGATGTTTCATGGAGTTTCTATTTATCACAGACTTCTCTCAGCCCGGAACATCCCTCCTGGCTGCCCAGGGACTCACGCCGGGGGGGCTGACCCACCTCCTTATATGACGGTGCCTTAAACCATTTCAGGGCGCGGGAGGCCCTTGGGGTGCACAGGGATGTCCGTCCAGGCGGGTGAGGAGGGGTGGGGGGGTATGCAGCACCTTTCCAGTACTGGGGCTTTCTTCCCCTCTTCACCAAGAGCCCCATGGGGTGCCTAGAGATGCTCACCTAGCCCCACTGCTCCATCCTGCAGCTAGCAAACGCCAGTGGCCTTTTTAGCCTTTTCTCTAATTTATTCTCCTCCCCATCCCGCCCTGCCTGAGGTGCAATGGGGGGGGACACGTAACTGACCCAGCACAACCCCAGCCCCAGTCCAATCCAGCACCCATCCTGCTTTGGGCGTGGGCTGAGCCCCCCTGCCCCAAGCACATCCCCTAGGGGCATCCCGGCAGGGCTGGGGGGCAAAGGTGGGTCCCGGGCTGGGGCAGTGCTACAGCTCGGCAGGTGGCTTGTTTACTGTGTAAGCAAGATGGGCAGGATGTGTCTCGTACAAGGGAGACTCGTGTAGGAATAAATTTTAGCTGGAACAGAGCGCTATGTGTGTGTGTGCTTGGCTCAGGGCTCCAGCAGAGGGAGGGAAACTGAGTCAGGATTCAATCTAGAAGGAACCATGACACGGGGCTTGCCTGCAGCAAGTGGATGTGGTTGTGGTGTGTCCATGGGGCACAGGGAGCCTCTCCTCCTCCTTCTGTGCCCATGCTCTGCCCCCAAAGCCCTGAACAAAAGCCTCTTTCTGCCCAGCTCAGGCACAGACCTGTGGCATTAAAAGGCAGCAGGAACGCAGGCAGCAGCGCTCAGACAGCAGCAAGGGGGGACAAGAGGGAAGGAGGGGTGCACACCCAACACAGCCCCTCCAGGGCTGCCCCACTCCCACCAGCACCTGGAAAGCCATGTCCCCAACCTCTGAGGCAGTCTTCCAGCTCTGGTGCGAGCACACTTTCCCCTTTAAGATGTGGGATCTCCGTGCCAGGGCCTGACCTCGGCATCCTCAGCTGAGCTGGATTAACGGGGCAGAGGGAAGGGGCCCACCGAGGGGAGCAGGGCCTCCCAGGGCTCCCCACACAGCCATAGGGCTCTGTGGGGCTGAGCACACGTGGGCACAGCCAGCACTGGATGCGATGGGAGCATCCAGAGAGCAGTGGGTGGAGGGATATGCAACCATGCTGCGGAGCAGAGCACTTTGGGGGTGCTTTTAAGTGCTCTGTACCAGGAGTGCTGCTACCATGAAGGACTTCACCGAAATCACGCTTTGCCCCGAGGCTCTGGAGCACAGCAAGGTAGGGCTGGGGCAGGGGTGCCACCTGATGGGTCTCCACAGTGCAGTCCCCACAGTGCCACGCACCATTGCTTTCGTGCAGACTGAGTTCTGCAACCCCGTCTTTGAGGGAGAGGAGCCCCTGGCAGTGCCTCCAGCTGAGCAGCCACCGGACGAGGATGGGGTGGGAGCCACATCACCCCAGGATGCCCTCGGTACCTGCATGGAGTTTGTACATGCGCCCGTGTCCATGGGGCCACTGGGAGCCCAGCCATGGGGTGCTCTCTGTGGGGATGTGGGGATGCGTGGGGAGTCGCTGGCATTCTGGGGATGAGAAGCTGGGCTCAGGGGGTGGCACAGGGCTGGGGACATGGCAGCACCCCGCTCTGCCCTCTCTCCTCACCCTCCCCAGGCCGGCAGCTCTGGGTGCAGGCGGGCTGGCAGTACCGTGCCGACTGCAGGTTCACCTGGCTCTGCGTGGCTCTGATGAGTGCTGTTCTCCTCTTCCTCATCGCCCTCCTGCTGGGCATCATCATCCACCGTGAGTGCTGTGAGCAGGGAGAGTTGGGGGAACGTGCCATGACTGGGTGGGCTTTCAGAGCTCCCTCCCCACACTACATCCATCCCCCTTGGCGCAGAGCTGACATCCCCTCCACCACCTCACTCCCCGGCTGCAGCCCTGCCTGCCCGCAGCACCGCCACCACCACTGTGGCACCCAGCCAGAGAGACCCCCAGGACCCCAAACCCTCCCCCCCAACCCATGACCGACCACCTGCAGCCAGCACTCCGGCACCAGGTAAGTCCCCACGTGGGAGACACACCATGGAGGCCGTGTCCCCATGTCCCTTAACCCAAACCCATTTGTAATATGCAGCGTGCGGTGGGACCCTGCGTGGCCCCGAGGGCTCCTTCAGCTCCCCCAACCACCCCGACCCCTACCCACCCCATGCTCTCTGCATATGGCACATCGAGGTGGCAGCTGGCATGGCCATCCAGCTGACAGTGGATGTGTTCAGCGTGGAGGGCACCGCCTCCTGTCTCTTCGACCGGCTGGAACTCTATGAGGAGCAGGGGACCCGGGGGGGCACTGCCAGGTAGGGCTGTGTGTGCCCAAGGAGGGGGTGGCATACCCAGGGCTGGTGCAAGCAGCGCTGCTACCCCCACTGTGCCCCCAGGTTCTGTGGCAGCGTGGTCCCCCCAACCTTCAACAGCATCTCCAACCACCTGCGTGTCACCTTTGTCTCCGATGGCAGTGTGGGGGCACCAGGCTTCAGTGCTCGGTACCGTGCTGTGGCCCCCAGTGAGAGTGAGTACATCATGTGGGTTGGCCTCAAAATACCCAGGGGTATGGATGTGGGTATGGGCATGGATGTGGATGTAGGTATGGATGTGGGTATGGGTATGGATGTGGATGTGGGTATGGATGTGGATGTGGGTATGGATGTGGATGTGG